ATTTATAATGGATTTTAATAGCAAAAGCGGCGGTGCCCCCGGCAAATATGCAACCCGCTTTTTGAGTGGGTTCCCGCGGTTTCCTGGTTTGGCTACAACTCAAATCTGAAAGAGGAGGTTCAAATCTACCGATTTCCGAAATCAGATCGTTCCGAGCATGTTTTGCACATTTTTGGTCCTTAACCTCCCAGCTATAGCGGGTTACTGCCGCGTGTGCTTGTCGCCGCGTGCCGTGGCGTGCCTTGCCGTAGCGTGCCGTGGCGTGCCGTGGCGTGCCGCGCCGCGGATATGACGGACGGCGCTGCTGGCGTTGCTGGCTCTATTACAGCGTCCTCCCCTCCGCCCTTGCTGCCCTTCCGCCGGCCCGCCGCGGCCCGCGCCTTCACGCGAGGGATAACGCGAACCGTTTCCGCATCCACCCCTCGCAAAAAAAAATCGGGCGATAAAAAATATGTAGACAAGCTAGGCGTGGCGCCATCTGGCGTCGCTGGGGGGAGTGAGCGGCAGCGCGCTGTGCGGCAGGCCAGCGTGTCACATGGTCACGGCGTCACGGCGCGGGGGGTCCTTTGCCGCGGCGCGTGGCGTGTGCGGGGCGTGTGCGGGGCGCGAGGGCGGCGGCGGACTGCATGCCGATGTGCAGAGGATCGCCGGCAGCAAGGCGGCGAGGCGAGGCGGTGGCGCACTGCCAAAATCCACCGGCCGCGTGGCCGCGGGGCCGTGTCACGCAGTGACGGGCCAGTGAGCGACTGTGTGTTTGTCGGCGTATCATTTATCATACGGCCTGCGTCTCATCCCCGCCCCGCCCCGCCTTTCATGTCAATTGCATCGCCACATTGTCTCGCGCCGCCATTCTCTGCAGCGGAAGCGCGCCACGGCGCCGCCGCTGTTTTGCGGCGCTCTTCAGCGTTCCGCCGTTTCGGCGTTTCGGCTCCAAGATCACACGGCCGGCGCCAGGCCGCGCCAGGGCAGCCCGGGCAGAGCAGCCAGCACACTGATTCCGAGAGTCGTTCCCGTAGCGCTGTCTCTCTCGCACTCACGAGCATCCCCCACAGGTGCGAGAGAGACAGCGACAGAGCGACTCGCGCCCCGCCGCCGCGCTGCGCTCCTCTTCTTTCCAGCCCGACCGAAAATAAACTTGGGCGGTGCGCGAGTTGAAAAGCCAAAGCACGGCAGCAACAACTGCTTTTGTGGGAGGGAATAGTTGGAGCCCTTTGAGCGGGGTCGCGGTGCGGCGCGGTGTGGCGCGCTCCCGCGTAGAAATGTACGGCTTTTATACGGCTGCTAGATATTTTGTGATCAAAGTAACGCGCAGGCGTTCGAAAAATACCCGGCTAATGTTTGGACTGTGTCAGCAAGATGTTGACAAAATATTCGGATATTTTGTGGACGTTTTGCCAGTCTCTGGCCGACCGCTTTTCGACGTCGTTTTAAATGACCTTAAAAAGATGTCCAGAAGGCAAAGACAAAATATCGGCAAAGAGCTGCCGCATCGCTGGCCGCAGCGGCAAAAGAGAAGCCACCGGGGTCGATCCACTAACCTGTCGCTTGCGAGACAAGAGCGAATCCGCTGGGCCAGGGCGTCTTCGCTGAAGACGATTCGCAGCTGAGCGGTCGTATACGCATCCACGACCCCGTGGACTCAGCCGGTCCCTGCCCCAGATCAAGCCTATGATCCAGCGAACACTGTTGATGACGCGCGGCAATAACAGCTACGTAGCTTTCATCTCTTTCCTCCCATTCGTTCACAGCAGGTCGCAGCAGGTCCACGCTCTAGACTACGTAGCTGTTATTGCCGCGCGTCATCAACAGTGTTCGCTGGATCATAGGCTTGATCTGGGGCGGGACCGGCTGAGTCCACGCGGTCGTGGATGCGTATACGGACCGCTCAGCTGCGAATCGTCTTCAGCGAAGACGCCCTGGCCCAGCGGATTCGCTCTTGTCTCGCAAGCGACAGGTTAGTGGATCGACGCCGGTGGCTTCTCTTTTGCCGCTGCGGCCAGCGATGCGGCAGCTCTTTGCCGATATTTTGTCTTTGCCTTCTGGACATCTTTTTAAGGTCATTTAAAACGACGTCGAAAAGCGGTCGGCCAGAGACTGGCAAAACGTCCACAAAATATCCGAATATTTTGTCAACATCTTGCTGACACAGTCCAAACATTAGCCGGGTATTTTTCGAACGCCTGCGCGTTACTTTGATCACAAAATATCTAGCAGCCGTATAAAAGCCGTACATTTCTACGCGGGCTGCTGCACCTCCGCGCCTTCGTCTTCCTCGGCGAGGTGAAGCGGCTGAAGCAACCCTCTCCGCGCCGCACCGCCCCGTCCGGCCGGCCGGCCGCCCTCGCCCTGACATGGCGTGATTCACAGTGAGGTGACGTCACGTTCGTTCCCTCGTAAATTTCAGTTACGCAGTTACGCCGCACCAGAAATACTCGTTTGGTGGCGCTGCTGCCGTCGTTCCCGGAGAGAGAGAGGGAGCTATGGCGGCGAACGGCGCGGCCGGCGGTAGGCGCGAGAGGGCGGCGCGGGCCGGCGCGGCCGTTTCAAGAGTTCAAATGAGTTCCGGCTGCCTTCCGAAAGCTCGTAAACTCGCCGTATATCACATTCAGCGTACAACTGCGAAAGCAAAACACCGGACCTCCGGGCGGCGGCGGCCTGTGCTGCGCGCCGCGCCGCCGGGCCGCCGGGTGTACTAGGCCGCCGCCGTCCTGTCCAGACTCTTCCTGCACTCTCCGCCCTGACGTCGCCGGCGTCCCTCGGCCCTCTCTTCGAGTTGATCCCCCTTCCGCCCTTTATGAACTCCCGGCCTCAACAACTTGGTGCTTCTTCTTCCGCCTACGGCGCCCCGCACCGTGCGCACCCCACTCCATGGCCGCCGTGAGGCCAGGCCAGCAGGCCAGGCCGGCAGGCTGCCTGATCAAACCGGGGACCCGTCGCTCGGTGGCGGGCTGGACTATGGGGGAAATAACGTTAAACTTCCGAGTTAAATTTTATTTTCAAATTTCAGACGAAAGAACTTTCTGCTCACCTTCGTGAATTTTCAAGAGCACCAAGCTTTCAGAGTTATATCCTTTGGGACTGGGATCTTCTTGGGTACTAGTGGTTTTACAATGAATTATGACTTGCATGATTTGCAGTACAAATTTACAAGTCCCGGTTTGGCTCGACGTGTGTTTGTTTGCGTGTGCGGGCGTGCGTGCTGCCCACGTGACCCGGCCGGTGTTCTTGGCCTGGCGGTGCCTGGGGGTGCCTGCCGGGCAAAGCAATCTGCCCCGCGCAGGTGTCGCGTGATGTGATGGCGGCTTGTTGATTGGGGAGGCGACCACACCGCGGCGCCGCACCCTGCCATGTTTATGTGTTCACGTGGGCGTTTTCGACCTGATTTCAAAATCCACAAAGCCCGGCAGGCAGGCAGGCAGGGCAGCGCCGCTGCTGTGATGTGACTGGCATTAATGACGGCACACCGTAAAGCAACGACTGGGGGAGAGGGGCGGGGGTATTGTCCCACTCCCCAATCGCGTTACCGTCACCCCGGCCTACCATATTTCCTACTCGCGCGCCCTCTGGCTTCTGGCCCCCAAATTGCAGCCCACTTTTTACTAGCTCCAAATCTCGCCCCCTACTCGCTCGCGCTCGCGCTCTCGCCCCCTTGGTCCTGATCCCCGTCTTGCTGCTCTGGCGCTGGGCCGCGCTTTGGCGCTTTGGCCCGACGGCGCTTGGCTTGGCGTCACGTTTAACTCCTAAGCAGTGGCAGGCAGGCAGGCAGCGCGCGGAGCGCAGTCCTCCGATTGGCCGATTGGCTGGCCGCCAACGCAAACAGACAACGTGGATGTGTCACTACTTTGCCTTCGCCGTGTCGAAACTTTGCCCCGCCGGCCCCGCCACACTGCCTTACAATGTCGCGCGGATTAGAGTGTCACGCGCCGAGGGCGGGCGGACGGACGGACGGACGGACGGACGGACAGACAGACAGACGAGCTGGCAGGCGGACGTGCTTGGACGTGCTGCGGGGGGCGCCTGGCGGCCGGCCGGCCTGGCGGACATCCGTGTCGGCGTGCTGCCTACCGCCCAGGCGCTTTGCCCCGCTCTGCCCGTTTCTGCCCGGCCTCCTCGACGGCTCTCCCTTCCAGTGCAGAGACAACGCCAGATGCCATCCGTACTCCTCGCGGCCCTCGCGGCACAACGAGGAGTCATGTGCATAAGCCGCGGGGCCCAAGGCCGCCGTCGTCGTGAAAAACAGAATACAGGCCATTTTATCGTTGACGGCACTGCGAAATGAGACTGTGTGTGCGTGTATGTGTGTTGCCACGAGGGCGCAAAAGCGAGATGATTGATAGAGCACAGTCAGTGGCGGACGAAGCGACACGCCGGCGTCAGCGAGTCTGTCCGCCGCGCCCCGCCGCGCCCCGCCACGGCCTTCTCCTTTGGCGCCCTCGGCCCTTCGGCCCTCCTCGCCCTGGTCCGTCTTCCGTCCACCACGTCCCTCGCGGCTTTATGGTGCCCTCCTTCCGAGAGTCGCTTTCGTTCGCTCTGTCTCTCTCGCACCTTTACGGGACGCCCCGTGCGTGCGAGAGACACAGAGCGACGGAACCGACTGTCGGAATCAGTCGGAAGGCCGCCCCTTCCTGATGTGTGTTTCGCGCTGCAGCTGCCGTTTCTAGCGCGCGTTTTTATGCTAAAAGGTCCCGCGGGCTTTGACGAGTGGAGTGTCCGTTCTAGCTTTGATTTGCCGTCGGTCGAAAACGGATTTGCGGGATTCCTCTCACCCATTCGCCGCGTCCTAGCAAACAGCGTGCCTGTCTAAATCTAGCGCGGAGACAAGCCCCGCTGTCGTCCCGTCGCGCTTTTGAAGCACACTGATGAAATTGCTCCAAACTGCAGCACCCCTTATATGCCCGATGTGTCTTCGCAAGACTTTTTGAGTGAGTCTTTCCTTCCTTGCAGGTTTCTCCGGACCGACGTGGCCCCACAAGGAGGGCGGCAAGACGCCGGGCCCCGGGCCTTCCGGGACGCTGCCGCCGCTGCCGCCGCTGTCCACGGTGGCGCTACCGGCCACGACGCCGGCGCCCTCCTTCGACACCTCGGACATCCCCACCACCGTGACGGCGCGCCCCGGCCAGACGGTGTTCCTGCCCTGCAGGGTCAAGAACCGCGGCGACAACGTGGTAAGTTTTTATTTTTTTCACCGCTGCCGCCATTTTGTTTTCTTTCATAGGTCAATTTTGGCAGTGAATTTCGTGCCACGTTTTTCCCCTGGTCCGATACACGTTGTTTTCTCCCCCGCCTACGCCGCTGTGTTCGCAATCTTGAGACGCCCCTGGTCCTCCTTATTATGAATTGGCTGTGCTCCCCGCTCCTCCGCTCCCACCCACACCCCCACCCCGACGTCGCGGTCCCATATCCCCGCAGTCCCCGCAAACGCAGACTTATCGGGAGGCATCGCCTCGGCAGGCATCTAACAGCGTGGGCCGGGCGGCCTGGCTGCCGCTCGCTCCTTACAGCCAGGTGCGTTATGGACCTGTCGTAATAGATCGAATTATTGGAGCCGCCGGCAAGTGGAGGGGCCTGGATGAAAAATGGAGGGGGAGGGGGGGGGGCGTCTTCATTCCGGCCGGACAGCAACATACTGTATACGTGCCCCCGGCCGCCCCGGCCCGCTCAATGGAAAGGTTTATAAGTGCGCTCTAGATTCGGCCTGCATTATGGATGCCCACTCTGCTCCTTGGAGGGGCTGCCTCTGCCTGCCCGCGGTCGCGGCGCGGCGTGGGGCGGCGTGGCGTCGGGGGCGTGAGAATGATGGCTCCGTCCTGTGTTCCCTGATAATTGCGTGGGGCCCAGAGGGGGCCGCGGGCCGCCCAAAGGCTAGTCGAGGGCCAGCCGGGAGGGGTGGCCAGCGTCCTCGCCGTCCACACAGCGGCGCACACAGTGGCCTCGCGGTGGCGCCCGAGGCGAGGCCCGAGGCGAGGCCCGAGGGTACCGGAGGGGCCCTTAGTGGTCGTAGCATCGCCAAGCTTACGGGAGCCGCACTGTCAGCGCGGGTTATTCGCTTAATTAAGGCAGAGCCTTCAAGGCGGGCGGCCCGGTCCGGCTGCAGGTCGGCTCCGCGCTGTCTCTCTCGCACTCGTGGCGCGCCGCGTAGGGGTGCGAGAGAGACAGCGCCTGCCTCGGTTCGCTTCGCTGCCTTAATCAAAGATCGCGGTCTTTCCCCCCAACCGACCGCCGCGGCGGATAGTGAAACACGGACTTGATGTCTCGGCCGGGCTCGCCGTCGTCGACCCGATCGACCTGCCGGACGCGGCCGTCCACGCCGTCCATCTGCCTGCCTGATACCCGGCATCCGGCTTATGCAGCCAGCGTGGAAAGGGATCAGCCTGCAGGTGCCCCGTACCGCCGCCATGGCTTGGAGCGCCCCGGTAGCGTCCGGACTGCCGGCCGATCCGACCGAAGCGAACCTACCCCCGCACTGGTTGATCTCCAAGACCCCCAAGGGCCGCGGCTCGGACCGAAGCGTGCACTGCCAAACCGAGTGTGGAGAACTCTTCCCTTCCACACCTCCACATTCCCAGTGTGGCGTTCTTCACACTTGGTTTGACAGTGGGGCCAGGGCGTCTTTGGCCTCGGCGACGACCTGGCCGAGCCGAGCACCTCAACGATGAACGCGTTGTAGAGCACCACGGCGAGGCCAAGACTTCGGCGAGTTAGTGACAGGGAAACCATTAGCCGGTCCGCCATTGTGCGCGGCGGCCAATTGGCTCTGTCTCTCTCGCACTCGTAGGGCGTCCCGAAGGGGTGCGAGAGAGACAGCGTACCTTCAAAACAAGGGAAAACAGGTCGGGCGTTATCCGCTGCGAAGAAAGGCGCTCCTCTCGCGAGGCATTGAAGAAGAGATATAAGAATGAGTGGCGGGGCGGGGCGGGGCGGGGCGGGTTCAACTTGGCCGTCTCCCGCTGTTCCACGGTGTTCTCCCCGGACCTGCCGCGCGCTCCGCGCTGCGCGCCGCCGACTGAGGCTCGCGGTACGAGTTACCACTTCCCGACGCGACCCGCGGAGTCCGCGGAGTGCTGCACTGCAGCAGCGCGACGTAGTTAGCGCCGCGCTAACCCTCAAAGGGCCTTGCAACTTGCCCACGGTACAGCGACGTTTGACAGGAATAACAACAGGAAAGCAAATTTCAACTTGTGCGAGTTTGTGAGTAACCGGTGACAGTCGTTAGTTAGGCACTAGTAGACAGTGGCTCAGAGTGATTCACAGCACCACCACCAACGTTTGGTGGTGCCACGCCGTACTTTGCCAACGTGCGGTTTTACCGCCTCCCCCAACCCCCTCACCGCCATGAGTGGGTGCGAAGGGGTGGGGGGTGCCCACGTGCGTTTCTTTTATGTCGGTTGGATGACACCCCTTCGTCACGACTCGTCACGACTCGGCGACCGGGGCGCTAAAACAGTGTAGGCGCTCTTCGCGCTCGATTGCCCCACCAGCTCGTTGTCCACCTGGGGGAAAAGGGGGGGGGGGGGCTCCTGCTCGACTAATCCACGTCTTCATTTACCGGCCGCGACAATGGCCACCAATTGGGAGATTGATGGCAATGACGTTCTCATTTCGCGGCCTTTTCACCTCGCCGTGCCGCGCCTCGTCCAAGTGGCCGCGCGCTTTATTAGGGCCGTCCATAAAAGGAGTGAGCGAGAACGGCGAAAAAGGGCGCCCGTCTCCGTCTCTCCCCGCGGACCGATGAATGAGGCGGTCGACACCGTCGCGACTGTCTCCCATTCTTTCGGCGCGAAAAGGGGAGGCAAGGCGCGAAACTCTCGGCGCGTGTTGGAAAATGTCGCGCGGGTCTCTCGCACCTCCACTGGAAGTCTTTGCAGGGCCAGAAGTGCGCGACTCTTCCTGGGAAGGCGCCACCGCGGCCGGAGGGATTGCTGTATTAATTTAAATTAGTTTCGGTGTCGTCTGGCTGCTGCCGCTGATGTTTTGCTGTTTTCAGGGTGGCCGGCCCGGCCGGGTCGTCGTTGTGAAGAGGCACGCTGCCACTATTTTGCGGAATGAAGTGAGGATGCGCACGAAAACGCGCCGTGATAGTGGAGTGGGGGGGGGGGGGGGAAGGGAGGGGGGGCGATGTGCGGACAAGGAGGAGGATCACGTTTTAATTAAACACGAGAAGAGGAATGTGCCCAGGAATTATGGGTCCATTACTGCTGCCGTCCGATGCCTGGCCCCCCTCCCACCCAATCCCCACCCCGCCAAATTCAAGCAGCGGCTACCGCCACTGCGGATGCAGCCAATGGTTTAGCCATTGCTTTGGCCAATGCTTTTGGCCACCCCGCATGCCATCACTGGCTGGCTGGCCTGGCCGCCCTGCGGAGTCCTGGGGACATCCGATAGCAACAGTAGTGGTAGTCGCCTCAATCGTGACTGCAGTGAGCCCTTGCTCCGCCCTTCCCCACCCCGCCCCTCCCCCTCCCCTCCTTCGCCTCCCCTCCTCCCCCTTCCCTTTTTACCCTCCCCTCCCCCTTTGCTGCCCTAGGCCAAGGACGGCCCGCTACCAGGCTGGCTTGGCTGGCGCGTCACACCTGGTTCTCCGCACTGGTACCTTTTCAATTCGCTGCTGGTGTTTTCCAATTCACACCCTGGCCCCGGGCTTTCGCGGTGCTGAGAGACTTCCCGGTGGGCTCTCATGCGTGGGGCCCGTCCTGTTCGGTCGGCCCGCCCGGCCTCCTGCGCCATCGACAAGAAGATTCGCTTTCACGCGCCGCATAACGACTTTGTGAAAAACCTCCTCTCCCTTCGGCCGAAACATAGAAAGAGGGGCAAGCACGGCCGCCCAGGCCGCTCTGGTCAGCAGCGGAGTCGCCCAGTGGGCTTCGTGAACAGATAGTTTGAGAACGTATTGGAGAAACGTCCCCGACGACAGCCCTGGACTGTGCATGTGTGTCAGTGTGCCAGCCCATTGCGAGCACGTGCCCTGCTCTTTGGGAGCACACTGGGATTCGGTCCGCTGGACTTCCCCACCCTGGCAGCCAGAGCGCCAGGGCCGCCAGGTGGTGCGGTCGCGTTCTGGCCATGGAGGCCCCGCCCCGCCCCGCCCCGCCCCGCCAGCCCACACGGCCAAGGCGCATCGGGGGTGTCGGGTCGGAGCGATACCACCTTTTCTCATCCTTCCGTCTTGGAGAGTTATTTACGATTTGGGCCCGGACGGCACGGCGCGGACCTTGAGGAGCCCCCCATGAATATCGTGTGGCGTCGCCATGATTCCAACACCTGCTCCAGGCCGCACCCCCACCCCGCGGGGCCTTCGCCGGCCTGCCCCGGCCTGCCCCGGCCTGCCCCCATCGACGGGATTCATATATAGCGGCGCCCCGGTCGGCGCTAGAAAGGGGAAGGCGGGGGTGTCCACGCCGAGGTCAACCATCTTGACCCGCCGGCCTTTGAAATTGAAATGGTTCCGCCTCCCCCCTGCTCCACTCCAGGATGTGTAGCGGCGTGGCATGACTTCAGAGGCCGCCGGGGCTAGGCAGGCACTGCGAAGAGTGTGCACTGCAAATAATGGTGTGGCTGTAGTGCCGGCAGGGCCGTTCGCCGTTCAAAGAAGCGTGTTTCTCTGTTGTGCAAAAATGTGCAATTTATTTAATTTTTTTTTTTTTGCGTGCTGGTGGTTGGATGAAACATTTGTTCTTTTATGTACACGACCTACTCTTTTCATGCGGTTTCGGCACAGACTTAAACTCCGCCGGGCGGTGTGTCGGTGCGGCGGTACCGAGCGCGCGCGATTATTTTGCGTTATGGGCGCGCGGGCGGTTTGCCCGGAGGAATTATGGTATGGGGAGGGGGGGGAGGCAAAAACCGCGACCAAATAAAGTGGGTGCGACTTTCGCGCGGTGAATTATTTGTTGTCCGTTTAAATTTGAAGCAGACCTAGACCCTCGCAATTAGGCAGGCGGCCAGCCCCGGCCAAGCAGCCTGCCAGGCAGCCAGCCCCCGGCGTGGCCCGGCGTGCTTCTAAACTTGGGGCGCTCCCCGCGCGGCCCCGCCGAGGCGAGGCGCAAAAGGAAAGCAGTGTCACCGAGGAGGATGCCGACGGCCGAGGATGCCGCTGCACCCGGAGCCTCGCCAATCTATGCGGCAGCGCGGCAGCGCGCGGGGCCTTTTGATCTCTGCGCACACAGCG